CTCTTTTCTCTTAGGGTTTTCGCTCAACTACGCTACACCTCCAGACTATATACTTCCTTCCAACCCCCATTATTATGTTACTGCACTTTGCCAGCAGTAATGCTACTCTTTCCAGCACTTACATATTCGAGGGGAAGACGCGGGATGCTATATAGCATAACTGCTGCCCAGCAGTAGGGGCTCGGTTGCCTATCGTGGATGTAGAGGAGCTTCCGGTCTAACGACTGAAGGTGGCCTATTGGCTAGCAATGGTGAGAAAGAAGGATGACCGTTGTAAAGAAATTCAGATCAAACAACTAAGAATGTGAAATTTATCGTAAGAAAGGAACTGCGAAAATTATGAGAACCATAATCGTTATTGTACAAAATATTCAAGTTTACCTGCTGTTCATGTTGCAAAGCGATGAGTTTGGCCAGTTGTTGCTCGGGATCATCATCATCACTGGAAACAACGAACAAGCAGCCAATATATGTTCGCAAAAATTCATGCTCCGCTGGCTCAGACCATTTCAGCAGTGCTTCACTGCAACAAAAATATTCATTTGTCAGTGGTAAAACATGCAGTTTTTCGGCGCTAATGTCCCCATCTTTTACCAGTGAGGTGGGGAGACCCAACAGTACGCCTGTACGGTTTTACGGGTCTCGGAGAGCGCAACAACGAGGTGAATGGAGAAGTTGCCAGTGCTGGATCGATGGCGTGACAACGAACGTCGATGACATACAGCTGCTCAAGTATTCAAGTAATTAAGTAAGTTCCCATCGATGATGCTCAAAATAGATCAAGGATATCGCGTAACGGCTAAAATCTTATCAAGTGGCTTTGTTTGAGAAATTTTTGAACTAATAAGTCATAAGAGAGACGAAACAGATGCAAAGGTCACCAACAAAATCACCATAAGGCAGTATAACATTGGTTAAAAAATTGGAAAAATTGTCAGCTGCATAAATGAAGAAGCAAACTACGAATTACAGCTAATTCAAGAACTCCAAATAAATACCCCGTTTGTATTTCATTGTCAAAAGCTCAAGTTTTTTTCAAGAAATCATAAAAAGAGTATTGAAAAGGCAAATGAAATAAGCCCAAAAATTCACAGCAAAGAATCTGTGAAATTTTTCAGTTGCCTCACTTGAAAAAGGAACGCGATGATGAAACAACAGCTGATCAAAGTAGAGCAGCATTTGTAGCCTACTGGCTTTTTGAAAAACGAATACACTTAAAAACTAGAAGAATCAAGGAAATATGAGCTTAGAAATACAGTAATTTTCAAAAACTACAGCAAAATTATGAAAAAAAAAAAATTCACAGTAAAAGAACCTGAAAGTTGATGAAGCAAGTTCGGGCTCCGAATCCGATGTGGAAGCAACTGAGGAAACAGCTTCATGTAAAACGGATGGCAGAACCGTCAAGCTGAGAAGAAACCCGTCTCGTCGAAGATCTCGAAAATCAAAGAATATACGCGAAGTGACGGATGATCCGGATGGATCCTGAAAACTTTTTTATTGAACAAAAAACCTATCTATATTGAAAAACATCGAATCAAAAAAGAAATTACTGAGATTTTACAAAAAACAAAAGAAAAAAAAATAAAGAAAACCATAATCTACCAAAAATCTTACTGTTACAACAGAAATTAGGTTCAGTACCAAGCGAATCACTGCCTGCTACCTTTAACTAATATTTTTTGCCTTTAACTAATATTTTTAATCTACTGACCCTATGATTTTTTGTTTTACTTTGATGTTAAATTAATAACAACACATGTCAGAGGACTGAAAGCAAGCAGTCCCAGAGCTGTCTACAGCCTTATCCGTGAGATGTGCGTGTATCACACCAGGATGTGCACGTAATTCAGCGGTTGTGTATGCACCCTCACATGGACATTCGTACTTCTATAAGGAAATACTTATATTCAGCATTTTGCCGGCAACATTTTTTTGCAAAATTCACGGTAATCATACATGCTGGAGGTTAAGATTTCACGCGGCCCCACGATGTGACACTGCCGTCCCAATTAGCGTCTCTTTTCCCTACCCCACATGCGAATACCAGTATGCTGAGAATACAGCCTATATTGGCACCGGTACCATTATTTACGGCATTCTAGTAAAAGTTTTAATAAAAGAGAAGGCTAACCTTTATGGTGCAATTAACCGTGGCGAAGGGTAACAGAAGATCGGTGAAGCTTAGGTTATTCTTCGCAGCGATACGCTCAACAGCATCCGACGTGAGTACGGCTAACAGTGGACTGAATCCCTGACGAATCTGCTCCTCTAACATCAGCAATCAGCACGTCCGGAAAACCTGCAAATCATACAAAATACCGCATTTGGGCAACGTATATAAAGAACATCCCTGCAAAGTTACAGCTTCGTCATTTGCCAGATAAGCAAAATCCGCTACTTCGCTACAAATATCTTTGACGTGGGGCGTGATGCAAGTGCAAATCGAAGCCTAAGATGCGAAATCCAGAAGAACGCGTCCAAGTGATTAGAAATGTAAATCACCAACATCCGAATAAAAATGGAATCTGAAAACAGGTCCCAGGCAGCTGAAAACAGGAGAAGACCAAGAATCCAAGGAAGACGTATTAGGATAACTCGAAACAAGAAAGATCATATCCGGGATAGTCAAAAATCCAGAAGAACGAATCCTGGGGTAACCAATAAAGACCTTTTTTCTCCCCGCTACACAACTCTTAACTTGCGAAACCCCCCCCCCCTTCCCTTTTCACCCTCATTTCTCTAGATACCTTCTGGGGCCTTCTACTTTAATCTTCCATTTATTTAGTTATCTATAACACTAAGTCCCCGGTTTTTTCTTATGAAAATCACACCAATGTTACAGTGGTCAGTTTTATTAACCTTAGTGGCTCTGAGGTCAATAAAAACACCCTTAATCAAACCACTGATGAGAATTTCTTTAAAAAAAGGTCTGGCAATGGATTGAAAGGAAACACCAAGAAAACAAGAAGTAAAAAGAGATCGTGAAACAGCATATGTTGTGAAAAAAGGTTCAGGAGCTGTAATGAGGACCTGTGTAAAGGCTGAATGTAAACTTGGTTGTCTGCGTTTCATCCCTAAGCTGCAAACACAGATAGGTGGCGAGCTACCGGTGAGAATTTCCAAAAAAAAGATCTAGAAGTGGGTATTTTTTGATTAGATTTTCCAGAAAAGGCCTTACTCAAGCCTTAAATGTCCTTACC